TGTATTTTTTCTGGAATAATCCAATGCTGCTTTGCATCATCCTGGGTGAGGTAACTGTCACTTCCTTTATTATACAGCTCTCTTAGCAGCCTCAGTGTGGGAGGATTCTGTTCCAGAATTATGGGGATAAGTGTTGCTGGCGATAACCCTTCAGTCCCACACTGAAGCGATGCCTGGGTTGCCTTAGCTTGGGTGAGAAATGGTGGTCACATCCACTTCCCCTCACTATCATCCCTCCAGGAGCTTGGCATAGGTACATGCCATCCTGCCTCTGTGCCCCGTGACACCCATCTCACGGTCTTATATGCCACTCGCTGACAATAGCCCCGAGTACTGGCCTGACACGTGGCAGGCAGCTCTTGGGTCCAGGACAACTCTTATCCCCACACCTTTCTCCCACTTGAATGGTGTCTTTCCTATTGCATGCGACATTAAATACTTCTGACCAAATGCTTTTAAACATATAGAAAACATTGGAGGAAAAAATTTAAGTAAAATCAATTTGAATAGGTTTTTTTGCTTCTTGGTGTAGTACATATACTTAGCCCAAATTTGAAATAGAATGATGTTACTGTCAGTGTTGGAAATTAGAGCTCACCCTCTTGCCAATGCAAGTGTGAAAAGCATCTACCACAGTTGGTAGAGTCCCTTCTACCAACTGTGTTCTGGGCGAGTGAAAATAACACCAGGTTAGTGCACTTTGAGAGTCATTCCCCTGAATGGCGAGTGCTTTCAAAATTTAGTTTCCAACAGTGTACTGTGCAAACATTTTTCTTTTTTTAGAGTCACATGCAATTTGTAGACATCATACTCATACTCTTTCATGTCAACATTTTAATTGCAACAGTAAATGTAAATGAGATAGTGAAATTTAAATACTCCTTTGGTTTGTAAAACATTTAATAGTGAGTTAATGTTGCAGTTCCTAGGAAGTAATGCTTTAAACACCCCGACAAACACAAGCAATAAACACGCGTTCTATGGCGTAAAGGTGGGAACACTGCTCTGCAATCGGCGTGACAGACGAACTTCCATTGCGTGACCAAATGCCAAACTTATCTCCCCAGCGGTTAATTCTGCACTGGATTGGACAAGTCGGCGAGGCCAAAAGCTTGCGTGTCCTAGAAGGGTAACTCTAAACGGCACTATGAGCTGACCTCCGGTTAGCATCGTGCTAGAGTGTAGACAGTTCTCAAGCCTTACTTATCTCCCCAGCACTACGAGCCGACTCTGCCGGCATGTGCTGGATCAGACAAGAAGAGGCATAAAAGAGCGTTAAATAGTGCCACTAAATTAGTTAATGTAAATGAGATAGTGAAATTTAAATACTCCTATGGTTTGTAAAACATTTATAGTGAGTTTATATAACTGTATTCCATATTATAAGGTTGATTTGTTTTGGTGATGATTGCATGCACAAACTTGATGATGAATGTTTGCTGACATAGCCCTAACATTTATAAATACGAAATTTTTCAGTAACTGCCTTACATGCTGTTTAATTTACAATCATGTATGTGTTTTCCTTGAAGGATCTTATCCATGGAGCTCCTATTGGCAAGCCTGTAGCAAGTACAGGCATGGTCACTGCAGTTTATGCTGAGGAAGATGGAACAGAAATCAACTTTACGAGGAAGTATGATTATAACTGATATTGATTATCATCTTAGTTTGCATTGATATACAACACTTGGTTTTACTATTCCTAATATATTATTAAGAGTCCCTGTCCATAAAAATGGAAGATGACTCGGCAAGGGTCAAAAATTCGATTTCACTCATATTTTCATGGTAGATAGGCTAGAGCGAGACAAAAACTACTGGATAGTTTTGTTGGCAAAATATCCTTTTATTTCAAAGAAATATGCAAATTACCAAATTCCGTTAAAATCGTCATTTAACACACCATTTTATTACACAAGTTTGAGAGCCTCGCATGCAAAACCACATCATTCTTTCGTCTTTAAAACACTCAAATATTTTTGTGCAATGTTTAAATG